TCATAAGTAATATACAATATTCGCGGGCGATCTGTATGAGGTTTAAAACAGCTCGCTGTTTTAAATCCTCATACAGATCGCCCGCTCATATTGTATATATTTACTTATAAATCATCGATGTTTTGCGGGTTGGGTTAGTGTGAGTGGATACAACAGGATAGTTTTGCATAAGGTAGTTTTGACATTCCAGCAACAATATATTCTCCAATTGTAATTGTGAATTGGTTTTTACCTTCATTGGAGAGGTAGAACGATAAGTGTAAGTTATCTTTCCAGCAGCCTGCGCCTACACAATACAATTGTCAAAAATCAATAAAAAAAACTCACTCTCGATCAAGGCTAAATGTTTCTTGTAATTATGTACAGCGGTTTCGTCCAAAAATGACAAAATAAACACGCGCTCGTTAATGACGTAATAGATAGATAATTGAAAGAGAGAATCATTCATTCATCTCACCAGACGCGTAAATGGGTAAGCTCAATGTTTCCCGAAATGAGCTAAGCCCCGGTTCATACGTCGTACTATTGTCGCGCCGAAACAAATAGTCAATTGGTGTCAACACAAATACATTCGGTACGGCGTTGATTCATACGTCGAACCAAATACTGTTAAAATCATAAGAAAAATCCGATGATACGCAATTTACATCCATTATTATTGTCGAAGACAGATATTTTGTGCATTAAGTTCGGCACGACGATAGCTCGACATTTGAATCAGCGTCGAGCTTTTGCCGTGCAGCACGACTGACTCTGCCATGCCAATGCCGTGCTACGGTCGCGCCGAACTCAATTTATTCATGTGTCGAGTAAGTTGTTCATGCGCTAAATTCAAACTATTTGGTTCGGCGCGACGCTGGCTCGACGTATGACCGGGTCTAACATTTTATATGATTTTTTTGTAGTCTTTAAACAGCACTAACGATTGTTAGTAATAAATCCGACGACGGAATAGAGCCTTTGGTAAATGCGCATTGGGCGTAACATGTAAGTCATTTGTTTGTACCTTTTGTTGAATACCACTAGTGGGATTCGTTAGCCATGTTGACTGATGAGCAACTGCTGGGGTGTTGAGACGTTCAGGAGAATCGATCTACCATAAAAATGGACAATGATTAGTTTACATGTGATACACGGGACAGACAGACTGATGACTGGGCGGGTGTCAACAAATAGCAAACTGAACGGAGGGAATAGGGCGCACTATAACCGTGAAATGATATCTATAATAACTATTACCGTGAAATGATATCTACGATATTGGCTTACAAAATAAAATACAGTGCAGTGTAGAGTGAAGCTAAATAACCGGTGAAATAGTTATCACCCTAATACAACTTAGTACGGGTAAAGTGGTAAGTGCATTGTTTTCACCAAATCCGTGAAACGAATCTTGACTATTAAAGTCAATTTAACGGAATTAGTCCATTAACTCTCTGAAAAACATCCGTGAAACTAAGGAGAACAACAATTTGACTACTATTTATTAACAATTTATTGAATATTTACCCTGTAAACTGGTAATGCACGAAAGACGGCTCCAGTCTCGGGAGAACCAGTCCTTGAACTTTGAAGGTGGGAATTATAATGCTGTGTGAAAAGGAAAACCATTGGTAGAATTATGCTCGATCAAGAGAGGGATGTGAGGGAGCACGCATTGCCTTTATTGAGCACTCTAAACATAACTTACGAAGGGTTTTCATGTCAGGTGTGTAGTTTCACACCCATGATCAAAATTTACATTATCATATGACCCGTATTTCGGCCTTAGGCGCGCTCTCACTGAAACCTTTGGAAAATGGTCACGTGATGGGGTCCGTACGCCTTTTCGCGACAGGTCCGTACAAACCCGTATTTTCCCGGCTTGAAGTTCCGCGCGCTTTTATTTATTTATTTTTTTTACATTAAAAAACGCTGTCATATGATAAAATGCTTATTGACTGAGTTAGGTCGGGCCGTAAGGGAAAATATTTGGCTCTCGGTCATTTGTACGGCATAACCTCGAGCCAAATATTTTCCCGTGCGGCTCTCCCACTCTGTCAATAAGTACATATTATCATAGCAATATAGTAGCTCCATCCGATATTTTCAACTACTGAAACAACTAGAAAAAAAAACACAAATGTAGCGGTTCATACCTTTGGTTTTGACAACGAATCAAAGAATTTCTTTGTATTTCCCTTAGGTCGTGTTTCGTCTTTTGCGGAATGACGGAATGGATACCACCTAAAATAAAACAATAGAACTATCAAAATGATCGACCGACCTAACGTGCGACGAAGTTCCTTCATCACACATAATAATCATATTGGCAAAGAATCAAGCAAAAAAGCGACTTGATTGACAAAAAGTCAGCCAACCAAACAATAGCCAACCATGGGAGTACATATGCAAAC